AGGAGGAGGAGGACCTCAACAGGATGGAAGTCATTGATCCACTCAGCGATCATTTCGAAGGTCGAGACATCAAAGACTTGAAGTCTCGAAAAGCAACTAAGTAGACAAGAGAGCTGCCGAGACAAGTCAAGAGCAGGAGAACTGGTAAAGATACTTGTCAACCTGGGAGGCGGTCACGGTCTGTCTTGACCCATCGTCACAGAGAATGTCTTGCAGACGACCATTGATGCGAGAAAACAAGGTGTCTTGCATGATCCCAACACGGCTGACGACCTGAGACAGGAGGACGATGTCCTGTTGAAAGTGTCAACGAGACGGCATCTGGCCCGTCCTCCATCGATCGCCTGCATGTTGAGTTGCTCCACGGGGATGAGGATGAGAGCTGAGAAGAGATGTCGGTACAGCTGCGGGTCTTGGAAGTCCAGCGTTGAGAAAGTGCTCAGGAGAGTGATCAGAGGGTGGAGGTAGGAAGCCTGCCGACCAGTCTCAGCCGTTTACCATCGTCAGCATCAGATTTGCCGTCGATCGCGCCGCCTCAGCCGCCACCTTGTTGGTAGGGATGAACTTCACGACGTCGCTGAGGTGGAGATACAGAGAGTCGTCGCGGACTCCGAGACGGAACAGGCTAGAAGACAAGGGATGTGAGGTTGAGATGACAGGCAGAGGAGGAGGAGGAGGAGGAGGAGGAGGAGGAGGAGGAGGAGGAGGAGGAGGAGAGAGGAGGAGGAGGAGGAGGAGGAGGAGGAGGAGGAGGAGGAGGAGGAGGAGGAGGAGGAGGAGGAGGAGGAGGAGGAGGAGGAGGAGGAGGAGGAGGAGGAGGAGGAGGAGGAGGAGGAGGAGGAGGAGGAGGAGGAGGAGAGAGGAGGAGGAGGAGGAGGAGGAGATGTTCAAACAAGAACTCACTTGTAACAGAAGAAGGAAGCATCTCTGATGTCTAAGTCGCTCGGGGGAATGAGGCAGACCTGCCTGCTCATGTGCTGAAGCAAATTGCGATCAACACGGATGATGAGATTCTGATCTGCGATGATCTTGATTGAGCGAACAATCATCTTGAGCACCCTCGTCGACATCTACACCAACCAGAGTGATGGTGGGGCAAGAAGGTGGGTGTGAAGAGAGTTATAGGAGAGGAGGGGAGGGGAGAGGAGGGGAGAGAATGGGTGGCGGAGGAGGGGAGAAGAGAAGAGAGGAAGCGAGGGTAGCGGAGTTTCACCTGGTTGTGCGTCATCTTGCGGACTCTAGCAAACAGCACAGTGTAGAGCAGCTGATTGTTGACGCCGAGACGAGAAGCGCCGAACAAGATGAGGGCAACGACTTGGGGCGACAGTTTGTGCGAGGGCAACTGGGGACACAAAGTCAAGCCGGCTATCACTGCCATCGATGGGTTCTACCTCAAGGACGGCCAGAGACAAGCGATCAGCGAGCTCTCTGGAATCCACGTCAATCTTGGCAAGAGCGTTGAACATCTGCAAGGGACGAGGCGGGTCAGGAGGTCGGAGGTCGAGCGGGAGGGTCAGGTGACCTGAGCGATTCCGATCTCGTTCCAGTAGCTCAGATCGATGTCACGAGCCATGGAGATGAGATTGTTGAGCACGTGTGGGTCATCGATCTCGAGCTTGACAACCGCGTTGAAGATGTTGGAGATCGCGTGCGAGTCTTGCAACGTCTTGCTTGGCACTCCCTGTACCTCATCATCCGAACCTGCTGCCCTCGTCTCCATCTCTCTTATCCCGCTGAGGATATGTCTGTCGCAACCGGGGGGTCAAGGACGAGGGAGGATGACAAGAAGATCCCCGGCACCTGAACAAGTGGGAGTCTTGCTTGCCAACCTTGGCAAAGGAGTTCATGGTAACGGCGACGGTGAACATGTTGATTTGAGAATGCGGAACGAGTTGGAGTGAGCGTGAGAGGTGGGAAAATACTCGGTCCTAAGAAAGGGTCAGTTTTACAGCAGGCGAGGAAGTAGGAAGATGGCAAGGGGAGTGGGAATGGCAGGGAAAGGGACAGCGGAGCAAGTAGGAAAGGAGAAAGACACGGATACTGTGAGAGGATGAAAGGAAGGAGGAGGGGGTGAGGGGGGAAGGAGGGCCAAACCACGGCAGGAGTGAGAGAAGACTGTAAGTTGGAATAGGAATGGAGGATAATCGCCAGTGACTGCAAGCAAGCAGAAGTTATTCCCTCTCCTTCTCAATCTCTCCACAGCCTGTTACCTGGAGATCGAAATCTTCCGGGGCTATCGCCGGGATGGCTGAGAAGTGAGAAATGAGAAGGGGAGAGGCGAGGCGAGGCGAGGCGAGGAGAGGAGAGGAGAGGAGAGAGGGTCGGATGTACCATGAGAGAAGTATTCCAATGCGTCTTCAAACCTGACGGAGAGCTTGCTGAAAGAATTACGTCATGACCCTGACAGCGGAAGACTCGAGGATGATGTTGGAATTACTTGCATGAAGACAAGACGTTGGACAGCGATAACGGCGTCCATGACGCCTCCTCCAACTCTCTGGCTCTTCCCAACAGCCTTCGGAACAAGGAGAAATCTCGGACCGCCATGTTGGCAAAAGTTTTGAGGATGACGGAGATAGACGGAGCAGCCAACAGCCGCTCGTCGGTCTCCTGCACAATGAAAACTCGGTTGAGAACGTGACGGTAGATAACCACAACATGTTGCTCACACGAATCAGGCGCGAAGTCTGCCCGAGAAGATCTCGGTCCAGCAGATTCAGCTTGCTGAGAGCTGTCAGGATGGCGCAGAGGGATCTGCCGGGCTGTGGGTCAACGCTCCCTGCTGCAGCATGGGGAGAGGGAGCACAACAGCACCTTATCTCTCCCGAACTTTTCAGGGAGGAGGAGTCAGCTAGTATCACCAAGATGCTGGCTCGCAACTGATGGAAGTGAGAGGCCTTTGGAGACCAAGAGAACAAGCACCTTGATCAAGGTTGCCGCGTCCTGGACTTGCAGGTGGGCAAGAGCTGAGATCATGACAGCTGAATCCTTGAGGTTCAAACTGCCACTGCTCGTCACACAGCAGCTCTGCTAGCATGAAGACACCTGGCATGCTCGATCTTGCCAACAACTCTTGTAATCACCTCCGCCAACTCCTGATGCTTCGCCAGTTCCACCTGCCTCCCACGTGATCAACACGCAGCTTCAGCACCACCATGACACCTTTGAGATCCCATGAATGAATCGAGCAACGAGGTGCGGGTCCCATTTCTCAACAGAGTTCTCAAGTTTGGGATGCCGTACAAACTCTTCCACGTAGATACCCTGATGCAAGAAAGCCGAGCTGAGAGTGATGACTGTACGGCTGTTCATGTCGTTGAGAACCCGCCTGAGGATCGTCAGTGAGCGAGGAAAGCTTCACTTCCCCGCTGACTCACTTGCTCGTCAAGATCGTGCTTGCTGTCGCAAAGAGCGAGTGGCACTCGGGAAAACGAGCAGCAGAATTGAGCGCTGCCGACAGGTGGTCCAACTCAACAGGGTCCGACCAGACATCCTGAAGACACGCCGATAAGACTGCAACCGTGATGTCAACTGTGAGAACATCACCAGCAAGGTCCTGGACTTGACGAGCTGCTGCTCTAGTTCTTGCGCCAGGTTCTGTGACATGTCAGTGGTTCCCTCCCGCTGCGAGAAGGGTCTGGCACCTTCATGGTGTTCCTTAGCCACGTTCGGTCCTTGCCCTGCTTGCCGAAAGAGCTCAATCGACCCATGGAGAGCATCACGTCCTTCCTCCTGACAAACAGACAAAGTGGGTGACCGAGGGCCTAGGAGTTTCAATGTCAAAAGTACAATCTGGTGCTGTCGTCTTCATCCCTCTTGAAGATCTCATCGATGTGTCGAAGTTGGCTGTGTCGTCGAGGACCGCTTGACTTCCTCCTTTGGACATTGTCTGATTTCATCGACAACCGGCATCGGCCACGGAACCAGCAGCATAGGGAAACCTGGGTCTTGTATGGTCCGGGTGGAAAGTAGGAAAGTTTGCTCCCAAGGAATGCAGAAGAGGCGACGTCACGAGCATACAGAGGTGAAGCCACGTAAGAGAGATCATAGCTGGAGTCAACCGAATACAAAAGCAGCAGCAGCAGCAATGCTGCATGTCGACAAGGCAGGCCCATGATCCCCGACGGATCTTTCACGGCACCGCCATCACGCGCGGATCCTTGATTGTCCCACCGGGAGGGAGCGTGCATGGATGTCGTCTGTATGCTCTAGCATCGGAGAGAAAGGAGTCTCTGCCTTCGGACCTCCTCCTCCCTCCCCTCCTTCCTCCTCTTCCGCCCCTTCAAGCCTCCGCACCATTGTGACCCATTTTGGCACCCTCGTCCCCTCATCGACCACTCGTTTTCCCTGAGGTGAGCTTGATGGCGCCTCCTAAACTGACGCTCCGGTTACCGTAGGTCCCCGACCCTCCTCCTCCTCCTCCTCCTCCTCCTCCTCCCTCTCCCTCCCTCTTCAACCTCCTCCAGGTACCACCAGTCAGACTTGCTCCTCAGCAGATCCAGCGCTGTCTGGCTCAACTTGCCACGAAGAGCTGAGCGCAGCCGAGAGCCGCTGTGGGAACTTAGCGGCGGGCGACTGAAGGATCCTAAGTCATGACGGGATCGCACTGATGCAACCGCTGAGTTGACGTCCCAGTCTGAATCTGATCGGAAGCGCAACCGCCTCACGAGGCATGGGAGTCGCCGTTCACGGTTGCATGAGGGGCCTCTGAAGTTGTCTGTGCTGCTTCTCGATATCAGCATATGTCGAAATCAACCAAGATGACTAGGACCAGGACCGCGAGCATGTACAGTGACGAGTCCTCAGAAGTGGATTTCCTGCCGACATGGATCAAATCGCTCACGAGGACGCAGGGAACAAGCATGTTTTCCCCTCTGTCTACCGCCATCTCCAGACAACTGCAGGAGAGAGACCCACTGCAGACAGAGCATGCTGACATCTCTCGGCCCTCGCCGAGACTGTCCTTCCTTCAACGCCGACAGATGATGCACGAAGAATCCTATCCAGTCGAGCACGTTCATCGTTACGGACATACCATGCTCCCTGCCGTTCATCACTCCATGGGCTTGTTCGGCAGAACGTCGAGCTTCGGCAGGTGAGTGTCGGGGAGTTGGAAGCAGGTCTTGTTGAGTACTCGAGTAGGAGAGCCTCCAACGCCATCCGTCGCTCACGATCCATCGATGATGGCATCACCATACAAGGCAAAGAGCTGGTGATGTCAAGCTCCGGCTTCAGCTCCTGGTTTGACTTCTAGTAGGTGCATGCCCTCCAGAGCAAAGCTCACGCGCACGAAAGCGACGTGGGGAGCTCGGGGGAGGGTTTCATGAAGCTGAGTGAGAGATTCATACGACAGTGCTGCCAACTGCTGAGCATCGAGTGAGGGATCTGATCTCAACATTGCAACATTGGTGACATGTGAATGCTTCAGACCCGCTGAGAGATCGTTCAAAGACCTGGACACGATCATGAGTCTGATCAACCATGTTCCCGTCTTGAACTCCTTGTCCGCTGTAGACAAATACTTGATATGTCGTCAAGGCAGGTATATCACTGGCGAGGTAGACGAGATGGGTATGTTGCTTTGCCATCGACAAGTGAAGCAGCTCCGCTGATCCCGTGATGGTCACAGTGTTCAATGATTACTCAAATGCGCTGCTCCTCGTACTCTCCGGAACGCTCGAGAGTTCAGACAATGAGATGGTGGAACCTGGAAGCGTGCTTGGAATCAAAGAGTTCAAGGATACAATGGAGGATAAGGATTATGTGAATGTAAGCGATAGAAATTTCCTTATACTTCAAGCTATCGTTTCCGTTGATTCTTCTTACAAGGAAAGCAGCCGAGAAACGAAGTACATAGTGAAAACCCAAGCTTTGCTATTGCGGGTTGACCTGATGGAGTGCAAGATGGCTTTCAATGCGTACGAAAGGTCGCAGAGGCAAGGGCTGACAAGGTTCGCTTGTGTGCACATTCACCCATCATGACGTCCCTGTGACAGTTTTGCCTTCATCGCTTCTTCGCTCTCCTGTGTCAATATATTTCAGAGTTGGTCCTGGCTTGATGTCTTGGCCTTGGTAAAGGACGTGGAAGGAGTTCAGATAGACAAGGATGTCTATTTGTCAAGGTTTGCTTCTCTTGCTGTTGTAGCGTACAGCTAAGATCATCTGAGAAGACAAGGGGAGGAGGTGTCTGGCTTGCACATACTGCATTGGGGAGAATGTCAGATAGAGATTGACGGCATTCATCTGTCGACGAGCCCAGCCAAGAGCTCGAGACAAAGTTTCTTGAATGGCATTAGAAGTACGACCTTGAACTCTGTTGCCACTTAAGATATTGAATTAGCTCACTTCAGAGGGTGGGAGTGCGTTGCGCAGCAGTCCCAAGACGCCGGCTGTCCGCGGATTGGGATTGATGACCTGTGGACGATATTCAGTGTTTGGCGAAGAGTTGGCAGGTTTTTGTTCCTTCTTCAACCTTGACAATTATTGATCATACTCCACTCCATGATTCAGATACCTTCAAGTCAGATAAAAAGCGAAGATATTCGGTCAAGGCCATAAGTGCATGCTCTTTCTATTTCATTCCTGCTTCGGTATCTTCAGATGAATTTGGAAGGCTTTGTTCTGACCTTTATGAATTCAGGTTCTAAATAATCCTCCGGGAAATGAAAAACGGAGATCTGAGAGGCAAAATTTCCTCACTACACAGCTAAAGCAACTTTCTCGTGAGTTATCGCATATCCCAGAAAATTTATAACGAATGTTTGTTCCAGAGAATCGTCAAATCTGGTTGCAGAGTCGAGTTGAGGCGCTCAACGACGCTTGGTAGGGAGGAATGCTTCTTTGATCCCAACGCCATTGCAGATGCCTGTTTTTCTGATGTGTATTTATTGTTACTAGAGGAAAAAACAATACTAAGAGCACTCCTCTCCCTGTCTTGATCGGCTTTTTAACTGTGATCAAAACGCGATGGGAGAGAAATCGTATTTCACACATTTGCTTTACAAGAGATGATCTCAAAATCCCGACGGTTTCTTCTAAAAGTACACATGGCGGAACGCCCATATCAAGCATTCGCCATGAAGGGAGGGTAAGTTAAACAAATTCTGAACCTCACAATGGAGTTCGTGACCTTTGCCGACAAGCCTTCGGGGGTTTGTAAGATTCGTACTCCTCAGCGAGGATTATGCAAACTGGAGATTTGTTGGGCCCGAGGTAGAGCTCAGTGACAGTCATTGACCCTCTCGAATCAACCAATGCAGATTTCGGACAAACTATGGACTTCCTAAGTTGCGTGCTTCTCCGGTCACGATATTCATCATCCGAGGACTCTTCCGAGGTTACACTGGGAAGGTGTACAGTCTTTCGACTGCAATTCAGATCAACAGTTCCAACGCCAGGGATCTTAGCATATCCTTGCTCCGATCGAGTTGAGTTGTAATCAACTTCTGGACCAAGGGCAGGTTGCGACTTGTTCTTCTTGAACCATGAGAATATCCACGGCATCTTGCGTATTCTGAAATCCTTGCCAGCCGACACTTTGAACAGCAGCTCCTGCACAACAAAAACGTGTCAACTTGAGAATTTCAACAGAGTAAACTTGAGAAAAGTTAAGTGGCCGTTGTTGGGGTATCATCGCAAGGGGATAAGAAAGAAATTCTAACATTGTGGACTTTGCAGCGTCTCAAACAAAGCGCGTTGCAAATAGAAACACGTATGTCGCAGTCGCATTCGATAGGTATAGAAAATTCTACTTCATCTTTAATCATGAACATATTCTGATCAGTCCATATCAAGAGGACACACAAGGCTGCAGGCAGATTCGAGGATTGGCACAACCGGAAAGTGATGGCGCACACTTGCACTTTCCAGCACGAACAAGAGGAGATTGTACATTTCAGAAATATTCAAAAGCTCTAGAAGGTGAAAAACTCATCATCAAGAGATCCTAACAGAAATCTCAAGAATGAATGAATTGCGAGCCCCACATTCTCATTCCATCTTGCATCACCTCGCAACAAACTCACAAACTGTTTCTTCTGACCTCTCCATGTCTGAAATGACGATGGGTGCATGAAGTGAATGAGATGTTCATATTCTAGTCATTTTCATCTGTGTTATCATGTCTTTCTTCCTTTTGTGTCATGTTCCTTCTCACTCCATCGCTGCCTTCTTGTCCAGGCTCATGACCATTTCAACCCACCCAATCCGGGTCTACTACCCCACCCTCACGATTTTCCTCTCAGTCACCCTTGTTGTTCACCCTACTTGTTCCCCAAGACTACCCGGTCCTGGACACTACCCACCCAGTTCCACAATCTGATAACTTCTGTACCCCCACCCTCATTATCCATCCAATTGTGCTCCCCCACCCTCACCCTTTCCTCACAAGGTGAATCTACCCCTGCGTTAAAGTGAACTACCCCTTCGGACCCTTTTGTATCCCCTTTCTACCCCCTACCCCCACAAAGGATCAGCTGCCTCACTTTTATCACCTGGACCCGTGTATTTCCGATCTTTGAATACCACCCCTGCTTCTCTATGATTTCTGTGGTAGTCATACCGCAACTGAATGTGCTTTTCCCGCCAAAAGACTTGAATAGGGTGGGTTATTCCTTCAAACGCATAGGGTGGGTAGGACCACCCCTGTTTCAGTCTCTCACTGTGATCCACCACCCTACCACATGCGTGCCACCTTTTTTTACACTGCCCTAGCTGATTACATCCCTTCCCCACCCCTACCCCTTTGATTGTATGATTCACCTTTCACTTCCGCCTCCCCAACGCAACCCCCAATGTTAAAAATTGTACCCCACCCCCCGAATTTTTTATTATTTCACTACATTTCATATCCTACCCACCATCCAATTCACCACCCCTTGAGAAATGTCTGAACCACCCCCACTAATGACCAAAGTTCGCATGTTTGACACGTACTGCATACAACCAGTCACCGAGTCTATTCCTATGACCTGCCACTGCTTTGTGCTGTATCTTTCTAGGACTCGATATCGCGTAGGGCCTATGGTCAGCAGTGGCCTCACATTTGAGCAGGCCCACCACTACAACTGTGATCAATTGAGATTCCAGGGGTGTTAGGGGTAGTTGACAATATATTATTATATTGTCACACCCCCCACCCCCCTCGCCCCTCTTTATATGCGTCCCATCGCCTCAGAACATATCTCTCAGAACCAGGGTAACTTCTCTGGTCGCCTACCGTACCGTACCCGTGGTAAATCCTCAAAGGAACGGTTTCCCTACGACAGTACTACCCCCTGTTTGTACACCGGATGGCAATAATGCACCGCCCCGAGTTCACACGCGTACCCCGATAACGGCTAGGTTCTCAGCAAAAACAGGGGTTGTGATCCTGTGGACCCGGTCGACAGGGCCGAGCTAGCTGCGCCACGGCCATACGGGCCGGAACCAGTTCAGCCCGGACTTCCGGGAGGCCGATAGAAGACAGATCAAGACCAAATTATCGGCCTTCATGAGTGACAATACTTTCGGAAATAATAATTGCAGGAATCGTTGCTTGTAAGATCTCAGGTGTACTTGTATTTGTTTGAGAGAGCAGACGGTGTGCGTCCAAGGAAGTAGTGCAGCTCCGAGGACACACGTGAGGCTTCGGGACGCAAGCGCCCGGGTGAAGCCTCCCGCGAGAGAAATTGAGTTAATCTCGAAGGGGCATTGCCCCTGTATCAGAGATTAAGCTGATAAGAACAGATACTACACTTGATCTTAGCCAAAAGGCCGAGAAGGTATGAGAACTATCAGTGCAGGTCCGAACTTGGGCCCGGGCACCACTAGTCTTACCAACCCTCGATGGCGGGCTGAGCATTTTCTATGTGTGACACTACCCCCTGATTGTCTGTAGGTTTATGGGGTCCTTGATCAAGACAGGCAGGCTGCAGGCAGGGGCTTTGTGGGATTTGGGCATGAGGAGAGGGGCTGGACAGAGTTGTGCCGATTGAGTGAGAACTTGATGGAGAGAAGGAAATCTTGTCAAGAGGTGGCTGGCTATTGTTTTTTCAAGAGATTACTCAGAAATTTGATCGCACACTGAATGCGAACTATCTTCCGGGTGTGTGAGCGATTCTCTAAGCTTTAGTTCAGCAAGAATACATGCGCAGAATCTGGAGTTACACAAGGTGGGGTTTCTCAGAGCGCTTTTATTAGATCATATCTCTCATGAAAGTAAAACCCATCAGGTACATGAAAACAATATTGGACATACAAGTCAGTCGACCAATGGGGTCTGTGTCACGGATTACTTGACTGCACTTAAAAGGGGCTGTACCCCTTCGATTATGTCTAAAGTTCCTGATTTTGAAGGTTATCATATGCTTGAAGACTTGGGCGCTCGAAGTAAGGGGGACTAACATCTCTATCTTATTGAATTTTTACTTTCGCAAGACAAGCAGTGTTCGCACTCAGTCCGAATCTCTGACAATCTTGTATGCGTGGCGGCCTTTTTGACTTGGATAGGACATCAGTCCGACCAATTCTTATGTTCTGAATCGTTTCGTCAAAAACTCAATTTGCACTTGCGCAGTGAACCTCTGCCATTCGAATGCTTCCAACCCATTGCTAAAGGCACATGTTGTCCCAAGGCTTTTCGTGAGAGAGCAAACAGACTATCAGATGATCCTCTGCAGTAGGATCTGAACCTTCCTGTCACTTTGTACAGTTCTGCTGGTTTTCAAGAATGTTTGCAACCCGCTCTATCGCTGAATGAGCCAACCATGACAAATCTTCTGTACCATGCCACTACTCCCCACACTCAGTTTTGCTCGCAAAAGAAGCATGCTCGGCACCATCGAGCGCTTTGTTGTGCCCTATAACCTTGAGAGTTCATTCTGCCGTCTTGGAGAGCTTCATTTTCTCTTCCTCGCTTCCCGTCAGTCTTATCCCCACACCATTTTCCAATAGAGACCATTGCGTAGCACCAAACCTTCTTTCCGAGGACCCGATACTTTGTATTGAAATTTGGGGGTAGAGGTCAAGGAGGGGTGGGTCACAGTAGGAAGGAGGGGTGGTGTGGTGACTCATCCTAATGGCGCGCATTTAGCCCGAAGGCATGGCGGGGGAGGACAGGTAGGAGAGGTTGAGCATGCCGAAGCTGCAGTCTTAAGAACTCTTTGACTCCAAGTGTTTGCCGCCTTTTTCATGTTGGTTACTCTTGCTATGCTTGATCCCCTTGCTCTCTTTTCTCCACCTCGCAATACTACCCCTCAGCAAGCCTTCAAAAGGCCTCCTCCTGTTCAGTGTCTTCGGCTTGACTTCGATACCTGATGCTGGTTGACAACAGATACGGGACATTTGTCCCTGAAGATGTTCCTATCTATAGCAAACAAGGACAGAAGGTACTTATTATTCTCGAGTGAAAGTTTTCTATTCATGTCATGTTCCGCTCAGATTTGGAGACGAAGGCTTGCCTGGTTTTTCGGCATAGCCGTTTGTTTTTGCGGATTCGTCTTCGTCGTGATACAAGTGTCTAAATATTTTCTGAAATCATGGAATCCTTCCAACAAGAGCATGCTGCCGGCATCCTCGCAGCTCTTCCCGGCTGACATGACTCAATTGATGGACAACAGCGCATCGCCGTGCGACAACTTCTACGAATATGCTTGCGGGAATTTCATTAAGAACCACAAGCTAAATCCAGACCAGTTAGAGTTCGCCCACGCATGGGATGGTGTGGAAAGAAACAACACACGAAGATTGCTCCCTATTATAGCAAACTCGGACAGCAATGCTGGCGTTTTCTACAGGTTTGATACATTCCTAGAAGCTAACTCATGCGAAAGCTGAATTCTGATGAATATGTTTTAGGAGTTGCATGAATACGTCGGCGATCAATGCGCTTGGGATCTCTCCTCTGATGCCATTTATCAAACAAGTACATGCGGTCAAAGACCTTGTCTCACTGACCGTGGTCGTGTATTGGTGGCACAAGGCAAACGTGGTGGTGTTCTATGATTGGTCAGTAGAGAGCAATCCAGATAAGCCCGAAGAGTCGGCATTGTACTTGATGCAGGGAGGAATCACGTTCCCCTCCCCCAACTTCTACATCTCGAGTGAGCCATCCATGAAGCTCAAGAGGGAGGGTTACAAGCGCGTGGCGACTGATGTGCTCACCAAGGTCTGTAAGATTATGCCCGAATGCGATGTGGCCACATGGCCCAAAGTCGCAGCGGAAAGGTCTCTTGAGGTGGAAACAGCGTTGGCCGAGAGATTTGCCTCAGCGCAGGAGCAGAGGGTGGAGCGAGCGCAACCTTACGACATCGAAGAGCTCGAGAAACTCTGTCCTGCTCTCCATCTCAAGCGGTTCATCAATGCAATGGCTGGCACCTATCACTCGCAGGCAGATACCATCGCAGACAAGATAACAATCATGATCAGAAACTCGCCTTACTTCGAATCCATGAACAAATATCTCGTCAAGGTAATTTTTTGACCTCAAGTTCTCCATGTTTTACTGATGCTAATGCAGGCTGATCTGGACAGCATCAAGGCTTATCTGCTATTTCGACTTGCATTTGTGCTGGGTGCAGATATGGACAAAGAGATGGAAGACACAGGCTTCATGCTCCAAAGGATTGTTACTGGTCAGGTTAAGAAAGTTCCAAGATGGAAGAAGTGCATGCATGCTGCGATCAATGCCCTTCCAGACGATGTTGGCAAGCTCTTTGTCAACAACTTCTTCTCCACCAAGCGTAAGATGGCAGCTGAGCACATGTTGATGCGGTTGAAACTTGCCTTCAAAGACGACTTGCTGAGGGTCGACTGGATGCAGAACTCCACCAAGCAGGCAGCGCTGGAGAAGCTGCACGTGATGTTCTTTGCTATCGGCCGCCCATCCTACTGGAACTACTACAATGGAGTCTATCTAGTCGACGACAAGTACCTGTGGAACGGCTTGCAGCTTTCGGAATGGTACATCCAACATTCGTTCAAGCGTTTGACGAGAAAGACCGACCCTCACCGTTGGGGCAGCACTTCCCCCACTATGGTGGATGCGTTCTACAGCTACACGGCAAACGGTCTATACGTCCCTGCTGGAATTCTGCAGGAGCCATTTTTCAGTGCGTCTTACCCTCTTGCAAGAAACTTTGGAGCTCTGGGCGGCATTCTTGGGCATGAGATCACTCATGGATTCGACGATCAGGGGAGGAAGTTTGGTGGGCGAGGGACTCTGGCAAACTGGTGGACCATGTCGGACTCAAGGAGGTTCGAGGAGAAAGCCCGATGCATTGAGCACTTCTACTCCTCCTTCAAGGTGGAGGGAAGGCATGTCAACGGCCTTCTAACACTGGGGGAGAACATTGCGGACATGGGCGGCGTAAAGATCTCGTACGAGGCCTTGCAGGCGGTGATGCAGGAGAAGTATCACCGCAAGTCGACCAAGGACGAGGACAAGCTCTTCTTCCTCTCCTGGGCTCAGAATTGGTGCACCGTTGAGAGGAAGAGGGCCGAGGAGCTGCAGCTCTTCACTGACGAACACTCCCCCAACAAGGTGACAACCCTCCCGTGCCTCTGGTCCAAGGTGGTTGACCTCCCCTCCTGCAGCTACGAGTCAACGGCCCCCTCATGAACTTTGAATCTTTCGCGGAAGCGTATTCGTGTCCTGCGGTAGGCCGAGCCTGTTTCTCATGTTTGGACTCTGACGAGAGACCTACAGGGATCGTACATGAGCCCGAGGCAGCGATGTAACATGTGGTGATGGAAATGCCAAACATGAAAAAGTGAAGTCTGTATCTAGCAGCCTGGCATGGTTCATTCAATCCTTGCCCATCCTTGTCCCGATGCCCGATCTCGACTGATCGCAGGGGCGGCCTTTGTAAGCAAGTGCAACACTCTGTGGCATGACAGTTGTCCGTATCAATCATTATGGAACCTTCACCCCGGGCAACAAACGCCAGCCTGAGGCCGCCCGGCCCCGGCCCCGCAGGCTGGCCACTCACCCACACGGCCCGTTTCAACGGATGAGTTACCGTACCGTAGTACCGAAAGGTACTACACTTGACCGTACGATGTGGTGTACTGTAGCCTGTACTCAATGTAGTGCGAGGCTTCAAGCCAGTTCTTGACTGTCGGACTTGAATGGAACTTGACGGTTTCTCCGATACAACCATGACTGGAGGTGAGTAACGGTGAAGTGTAACGGCTGTATCCCTTTGTAAAAGTAAATAGTACCGTCACTGTCAAGGACCCTGGGGTGGGGGTCATAACTCAGTGATTGACTAGGGTATTTCCTCATATGTAAGTCAGTAAAAGGAGGGGGTAGGAGAGGAGAAGGGTAACTCAAGGGGGTGGGGTCAAACAGCCAGAAGGATCATTTCGACGAGTCAAATGATTTTTGAAAGGACCGGTACCTACCGGCTTTGATCAAAATGAGGGGTAGTCAGCTCAGACACATGAAAGGCTACCCCTATTTGGCTATTGAATTGCACGGGTAGGTTTCAACTCAAATAGATTCTTGTGGGGTAGGGTATGTTCGAATGAGTCAGGGTGGGGTGATCGTCCATGGCGGTATCGGAGCGGTTCAGCCGCGCCATGGAGGAGGCGATGGAGGAGACGGAGATGGAGCAGGTGAAGTACCATGCTTGAATCGTGTTGCACTTGATCCAGAGCATCACGCATGCTTCGCTTCAATGCGGCTCGTGTTGTCTCATGAGAATGGAAGACTCTTTTGTACCACCTCCGATCTACAAGCCTCTGCACAGTTCGCACGATGAGGGTGTTGTGAAGAATTGAACTTTTTTAAGACGATGTTTCATGATTGTAGAAATTCTGGAAAGAGACTGTTGGGTAGCGACAGCATTTCGTACTTTAACATGTCCAACTAGTCAATCAAGCAACTAGTCAATCAAGTTGTAGCTATTCTGTCATGGAGATGTAGGAACAAAGCAGATTCTAGAAGCGACTCGAGTCTTCCAACTTACTGTACGATGCTGAAATGTCTGCTGGTCTCTGTGTCATCAACCATAGAACTGTGATGCAACAATCTGATTGTAATCTTTTATGCCATGGGGCTGACGAATCTTTCCAGCTATACAAGACCTTGGACAAGGTCAGAGAAGAATTAGACTTCGAGATATCGAAGAACGAGACTTTGAGGTGAGGAGACGCTTCCTCCCTATCCTTGAGTGAATCCTCGTTCCTATTATTGATCAGCTCCCAGGAAAGCGAAAGACAGGGCGGAGGCGGAGGCCCGCGCCCTGCGTGGGCGAGGAGATGGTTCACTTCGAGAGGAAGTCAAGAAGCTGGATGCTGAGTGCAAGAGGCTGCGGAGCGAGAAGGAGCAGTGCGAGAAGGAAAGAGACATGTACAAGAAGCAACTCGAAGAGGCGCTGGCAGAGCTTGACAAGTACAAGGATGGCAACGCTGCTGCGGGCAAGAGCGAGAAAGCGCCAAAGAGGGCTGAGCGCGGCGAAAGAGAAGAGAAGCCTGAGCGAGGAAACGACGGAGGAGGCAGAGACGAGAAGGTTGGCAAGGGGCCCGAACGTCAAGCTGCCGAGGTCAAACCTGGCGTTCCAAAACTCCCCCGGCAGCACTCGGACAGCGACGTATTGAGAGAGACCTCAAGGAAGAAGGCGGAGGAGGATAGGAGTGGAGTGAGCAGGATGTATGGCCAGAGCATAACTCACAGTATGACCGAGCGAGCAGCGAAGACGAGAGACCTGTTCAAGCAGATGGAGAGGGAGCAAGGGCCCCTTCCTTCGAAACCAGACTTCAAGTCGCCGGCAACGAGGAAACCAACTCACGCCTCCTCTGAGCCGAGCACTCCAACCTACCGTGCCAACGACCAGCCGGAAGGCTTCCTGACACCTCCCAGGACGGAAGAAGAAAAACCTCCTGCAAGCTCTCGAGAGCGAGTGGAGGAGCCGTCGCCGAGAAGGAACGACTCAAGGGCAGCAGCGGAGGACCCTCGTAGCGCCTCGTCGAAGAAGCCGGTAGAGCCGAAGCACGTGCCATCGCCAAAGGAAGAGGAAAGTAGCAAGAGCCCTGCCAACAGCAACCACTGGCAAGGAAGAGAACCGACGCCGTCGATCCAGGCTGGGAAGAGGCTGGTGCTGCCGTCGGAGATCGCGCGCAAGAACAAAACTCCGACCAAGGACTGGGGAGAGTGTGTGCTGACGTGTGAGCCGATCAAGACGCCCGTGAGGGCGGCAGACGGTCACATCTACGAGAAATGGGCGATCGAGAAGTGGCTGAGGGAGAACAAGAACCGATCGCCCCTTAACAACATTATCATCAGCCCCGAGCTCGTTCCCCTCACAGACAAGGACCATGCTGACTACCTGTCGAGCATCTCTGACGGCTCTGAGACGAGCTCGCGGGCTGGCGTTGACTCGGTCTCTACCGATGGAGGCTACGGGACTGCGCGGGACGAAATCTTCTCCGCGAGAACCTCTCACGCCTCCTGCATTACAGCAGCCACTGAGATGCCGACGGACTTTCCCGATGACTTCTCTCCGAGCTCTCGAGCCTCCACTGCAATAGAGGCCGACGCCTTCCACACTTCCATCGCCTCCTCGGTCGGCACTGAGCGACCAGACACGTTCGATGCGAGCGGAGGAGGCAGGAGGGTGGACAGCAACATCAGCTACCACAAGAGCTTGGCTCATGGGCGGGAAGAGGCCTCGAGCTTTGCGTCCAACACCGCAACACTGGTGGGGATGGGATACGACTACAAGTCGGTGACTGCTGCCCTCGCTGCCTGCCAGAATGACCTGGAGTCTGCGATAGACTACATGAGCAGCGGCAAGAGCAAGAGCTCGAGCCAGGACGAGCGAGCCAAGAGCAGCAAGAGGCAGGAGGCGTCGGAGGCTGAGCGACAGGAAGGGAGGAAGAACAAGGCTAGCAGCGAGCCCAGCAGCGAGAGCCTGGTAGGGATAGGAGCGCTGCTGAAGCCCAACAGCAAGGGGATCTTCAAGGTTTGACAACTCTCATGTCGCCTCGTTGAAACGGGAGCAGGTGGTCGAGCTCCATCCCCACGGGGCAGCGGCGAAGAGCAACATGATCTCTGTTGGAGACACGATCCTCTCCGTCGGAGGCACGGTGATAGGAGGCGAAGGCGGAGGACAGGATAGGAGAAGGCGAAGGAGAGCAAGCGGAAAGGGGATGAAGAGGGAGAGAGAAGTAGGGAGAGGAGGATGTGGTGGAGGTGGCTTTAGGAGGGATTGGGGGAGGAGAGGTGGCAGGAGGGGATGAGAAGGGTAGGGAGAAGATATGTCCGTTTTGGGAGGGGAGGGAGGTCGGGGAGTAGAGGGAGACGATCTGTAGATGGTTTGTTTGTGATGTGCTGGTACAGGACATTCAGGGGATGACGGTGGAGGAGGTCGCTCCAATGATCAAGGGAACCGTTGGATCAAAAGTGTGTTGCTCCTCCTCTTACCTTTCAGTTCTCTCCTCGTCCTTACCTCGTCCTCGCTTCCTGCCCCCCCCCCCCCATCCTCCGTGCTGGTTCATCATCGTCCTGCTCCTGCTCTCGCTCCTGCTCTTCTGCTGCTTCCTCCTTTTGCTTCATCCTGCTCCACTTCGTCTCTTCCTCCTCTCCTCGTCTCCTCCTCTCCTTCTGCTTCCTTCTTCTACTTCTACCCTCTCCTATCTCTATCCCCCTCCTCTACCTCTTGACATTCGTCATTGCAAACTCTCGCCCCCCCCCTCCTCCTTTCTTCCCCCTCCCCTGACTTCTGGTGTCAGGTTGTCTTGGAGATCAGCAGGAGAGGGTATGCTGAGCCCTTCACCGTCGAGCTGGTTCGTGTTGGGATGAAGAATCCTTCTACTCCTGTGGGCAGGGATAGGTGATGAGACCACTTCGTGCTCGTTTCCGAGTCTGATCCCTCTTCTCAGAACGGACTCCTCCTCCTCCTCCTCTTCACACTCCAATCTGAAAGTCGTTGCTGACCCAACATCGGTGCTGTTCCTCCCCCCTCCTCGTCCTTGCTGTCGCTGACTGTCGAACAGTCGACAGGGCTCAAGGGTCTCCCACCTGGTTGGGAGAGTCTGCTGAAACAGGCCAACATCTCGCCGGAGGAGGTTCAGCTCTTCTCCGCTCCTCTCATCTCATCTCCTCCCCTCCCCTCTCTGCTCACTCTGCCCACCCTTCTGTTCTCAAACACCGCAGGCCATGGAGCACATCGATGAGCTGCTCGACGTGTTGAAGTTCCACACGGAGAAAGGCACGAAGAACAATCGAGTCTCTCTTACCTGCCCTTCCGTCCTCACCCTCTTGACAACCCTGTCCTGACCTCCTCCTGCTCCTCCTCCTGCTTCTCCTCATCGTCATCCTCCTCCTCCTGCTCCTCCTCCTGCTCCTCCTCATCGTCATCCTCCTCCTCCTCCTCCTCCTCCTGCTGAAGGAAAAAACATCCCCTCCTCCTCCTCCATCGCCACTTCGTTCATCTTACCTTCAGGTGGTCTTCCTGCTCTGCCGACGAAGTCTGTGGCCTCCCGAGACATGCGGGAAGCCGTGCAAGTGAGCGATAGAATCAGTTGGGAGGGAGGGAGGCGTGTTCGAGGAGAGGGGGAGGACAAGGAGAGGGAAGCGGAGGAGGGTAGAGGCAGAAGGGGAGGAGGAGTGGAGAAGGGAGAAGGGAGAAGGACGTGGTGAAGAATGTGGAGGGTACCAGGAGAGGAGAGGCTGGAGGGAGGGAGAAAGAGGTTAATTTTCCCTCCAGTTCGAAACAACTGATCCATCGATCGAGTTTGAAATCTCCAAGAAAGCTGTCGGGCAGGTTCGAAACTTCTTTCTCATTCCTGGAGTCCTGCTGCCCACGTTCCATATCCCCTTCTCATCCCCCTCCCACATTCCTCCTCGTCTTCCTCCATCTTCTCCTCCTCCATCTCCTCCTCCATCTCCTCCTCCATCTCCTCCACCACCACCTCTTCCTCCATCTCCTCCTCCATCTCCTCCTCCACCACCACCTCTTCCTCCATCTCCTCCTCCATCTCCTCCTCCATCTCCTCCTCCACCACCACCACTTCCATCTCCTCCACCTCCTCCTCCTCCTCAACCACCACCACCACCACACCCTCCCTCCTCTACCTACTCTCCTTAAATTCAACGTTGTGTGGCCAGGGGTGCACTGGAACGATTTATCTCGGTCGTCCAAAGAGAGGAGGAGACAAGGTTGAAGGGATCTCTATGCGCGTGCCAACATGTCAAAGTTCCCTCAGGTTGCCCTGAAGAAGCTACGACTGTCAGAACAAGTGCAGTGAAGGTGGAGGTGAAGAGGGTGAAAGTGAAGATGTTCCGCAGGGGGGAATAGTGCAATCAGCTCTGCAGAATGAGATTGCGATGATGAAGATGTGCTCCCACCCTTGCACAGTGAAGGTGAGGTCAACAACAACAACAACAACTATAACACAACAACTATAACAACAACAATAACAACACCAACACCAACACCAACTACACCAACTACAACTACAACTACATCAAAAACAAACAAACAAGCAAGCAAGCAATACAAAAAACTACAACATTCATCGAGAGATGCTCACACGATGTTCCAGTACATCAAGAGTTTCATCCACGACAAGCATCTCTGGGTACGTGAAACTGATGACGTCGTTCGAGGCCTCCCTTGACTCTCCGCACTTGTCAACAGGTCGTGATGGAGTACATGGACGGCGGATCGCTGACTTCGCTGATCCAAGTCTCCTCATCTCTCCTCTCTTTCCTTCTCTCCTCACGCTGTTTGTCAAGAGTCACTTCTCTAACGGCAAGAAGTTCATGGAGGAAGAGATTGCAGGTGCAACAAACGAGTCCCTGTACACCTCTGCGAGGCCAACTGCTGTCGTCCTCGTCTCCCTTCTGATCGCTGCTCCTCCACTCCTCGCCCCATGTTACCCTCCTCCCTTCTTGCCCCCGTCTCCCTCCCTCTCCCCCTCCCTCCTCCTTCCCTTCCCTCCTATCAGCTTGCCTTCCCCTCACTTCATGCACGCAGGATTTTTGCGTCCAGCCATGGAAGGACTTGAATTCATCCACGAGAAGGTCATTCCATGTCATGTCTCCTCTGTTTCTAGCTCCAGCATCCGCAAACTTCCGCACCCTCCTCGCCTCTGCCCTCCTCACTGACTTGCTGCTTCATCTCCTCCCTCCCCCCTCCTCACTCTTCCTCTCAGGGGCGAGTTCATAGAGACATCAAGTCTGACAACCTCCTCGTCAATTCCGCCGGTCAAGTGAAGATCGCGGACTTCGGCTTCTGCGTGCAGGTTGCTTGAGTTTCTCCTGCTCCTCCTGCTCCTGCTCCTGATCCTCACTCCTCCTCCTCGTCCTCCTCCTCCTCCTCCTCCTCCTCCTCGTTCTCTGATTTTCTTGTAGTTGACAGAGGAGCAACGGGTGCGGCAGTCCATGGCAGGCACCTACTACTGGATGGCTCCGGAGCTTGTGAGAGGCCAGGTATCTCGCTGACCCCATCCCCACTCCCACCTCACTCTCCTTGTACAGCATTATGATCAGAAGGTCGACATCTGGTCTATGGGAATAACTTTGATCGGTTGCTTTACCTCCCCTCCACTCCTCTCCTTCCTTCTCCCTCTCCTCTCCTCTCCTCTCCTCTCCTCTCCTCTCCTCTCCTCTCCTCTCCTCTCCTCTCCTCTCCTCTCCTCTCCTCTCCTCTTCTCCTCCTCCTCCTCCTCTCCTCTCCCGTCTCCTCTCCTCTCCTCTCCTCTCCTCTCCTCTTCTCCTCTCCTCCTCTCCTCTCCTCCTCTCCTCTCCTCCTCTCCTCTCCTCCTCTCCTCTCGCCTGCGCTGTTTGACGGTTGGTCAGGTCACGGAGTTGCCGCTCGTGAAGGCGTTCATGAAGGCAGAGGGCCAGGACAAGGAAGGGGAGGAGAAGGAGGAGGAGGAGAAGGAGGAGGAGGAGAAGACGGTGAGGACATGCCGGGTTGGTAGCATCAGGTGATGGTAGGGGCAGGAGACCAAGGAGAGAGGACAGGACGAAGACATCGAGATGCAGGAGGAAGACGAGGAGATGTAATACTTGCTTCCTTCTCTTCCACCTCCTATCCCCCCGCCCCAATCTCTCTACTCCCTCCCACTCTCGTCTGT